TTAGCTATTGTTTGATGCCTTTGCTAAAATGTCTGCTCCATCAGAGCAGGAACCATATGTGCATATTGGCAGCATCTAAAATCATTCCAGGCATGTGAAAGGTACTTGGTTTTTTTTTATTATGTGCTATGAAGTCAACCAAATCATAGCTGACCCTCCAGTGGGTTTCCAGAGGTTGTAAAATGCATGTGGGGAGATTACCCATCTTTCTCTTGCAGAGCAGTTAGCGGATTCAAACCACCTGCTCTTAGGTTAGCTGAGCAACTCCTTGCCACTAAATCATGTGGATATAGATTTTAAAAATGTATACATGAATGGGTGAATAAATTCATTTAATCTTCCAAAAGCTAAAAGAGACTATGGAGCAAAGAAATAAGGCAAAGAAGTCCATAAGAGAGAAATGCAAAATTTTCCAGTCCTTGTAATGGCTAATGTTGTTGTTGAACGCCATTGAGTCGAGCATGACTCATAGTGACCCTATGAACAAAAGGCCTGAAGCCTTTCTATAACTATTGTCATTTATCAAAGTTCATAGAGTTTCCAAAGGCATGGTGTTTAGGAAGTGTATGCCATTCCTGCTTCCAAAATTCTCTTTTAAGAAAGAAAATCCTTCACCGAAGAAGACATTCAGATGGCTAACAAGCACATGAAGAAATGTTCAAAATCCCTAGCTCTAAGAGAGATGCAAATCAAAACAACTATGAAATATCATCTCACCCCAGTCATAATAGCAAAATTCAAAACAGCAAACAACAAATGCTGGTGAGGTTGTGGAGAAACTGGAACCCTTTATTCACTGTTGGTGGGAGCGTAAAATGGTGCAACCACTGTGGAAGGCAGTACGGCGCTTTCTCAAAAAGTTGCAAATAGAGATACCATTTGACCCAGCATTTCCACTACTAGGAATATACCCCAAAGAGACCATAACTGACATCCAAGCAGATAAATGCACACCCATGTTTACTGCGGCTTTATTCACAATAGCAAGGAGTTGTAAGTAACCTAAGTGCCCATCAACAATCGAATGGATAGAGAAGCTGTGGTATAGTCACACAATGGAATACTATGCTGCATTAAAAACAAGAAACTCATGCAATATTATTCAAAATGGGTGACCTTGGAGGACATTATGTTGAGTGAAGTATCTCAGTCACAAAAGGACAAATACTGCATGGTGCCACTGTTGTAAAACAGGACTGACTTCGGGGTTGGGGAGAGACTGAGAAAGATGGGTTCAATAATGTATACTGCATTGAAACAGATGAGGGAGAAAACTGTTTAAAAGGGATATGTGATTAGGTATTTTTGTCATGACAGAAGTCTAGAGCAAAGGCTACATGGTAGAGTGGACCTGGAGGAGGGTTTGTAAAACAATGAAAGAATTTTACTTTTCCAAGAGGATAGTGTACTGGGGGAGGGTTGGGAGAGGAGAAAAGTGCAACAATGAATGAATGGAAATCCAAAGTCTCTGGAAATTTTTACTGAAATTAATAATAAATTTAAATAAAACAAAAAAATAAGGAAAACCATGGGAAGTAGCTTAAAACAAAACAATAACAAGACCACTATAGTTGTTAATTGTGTGGCCAAGGGCAGTCAAGTAGGATGATTTTTAGATGAGTATAAATTACTGTATCACATTTCATTGTTCTTGAACCTGTTTCATTATAAAGATGATACAGCATCGCATAAACAAACACTCAAATCAAAATGCCCTGGATATCTTTCCTTCCAAGGGCAAGTTGTGCACATTCTGAGTAGACAGCCTTTGTAATTATGGCCAATAGGGGAGTTCTTCAGGTCCTCCTCAGTTTCAGCAAGCAAGGTTGTGTCATCTGCATAATGCAAATTGTTGATGCTTCTTTCTCCAATCCTGATGCCACATTTCCCCTCATAGAGCCCAGCCTCACAGATAATCTGTTCCACATACAGATTGAAAAGATAGGGAGATAAAACACATCCTTGGTGCACACCCTTCCCAATTTTGAACCATTCAGTGTTTTCTCGCTCTGTTCTGATAACTGCCTCTTGGTTAAGTATAGGTTGTGCATAAGCAAAATCAAGTGTTCTGGGATTCTCATTCTTCTTAGAGTCAGCCACAGTTTGTTGTGATCTATACAGCTTGCTGCAGAGGGTCAAGGACTGCAGCCTTCAATATGGATTGAAACTCAATATCAAGAAAACAAAAAGATTCTCAACACTGGGCCGATTGGCAGCATCATGATAGATGGTGAAGAAATTGAGGTTGTTAACACCTTCAGTTTGCTTGGCTCTACAATCAACACTCTTGTTACCAATAGCCAGGAAATTAAAAGGTGACTTGCATTGGGAAAGTCTGCTGTCTCCAAAGTACTGAAGAGCAACTATGTCAGTCTGGAGACTAAGGTGCGCCTGATCCAGGCCATGGTCTTTGCAATTACTTACTATGCATCAGAAAGCTGGACAATGACTAGGGATGAAAGAAAATGGATGCCTTTGAGCTGTGTTGCTGGAGAAGAGTATTGAATATACCATGGACTGCTAGAGGAACAAACAGGTTCATACTGGGGAGGGTGAAGCCAGGCTGCTCTTGGATGTAAGGATCTGAAGCTTAGTCTGACATTCTTTGGACATGTTGCAAGGCGGGGATCAGTCCTTTGAGAGGGACGTCACACTTGCAAGGGTGGAGGGACAGTGCAGGAGAGGAAGACCCTCAATGAGACGGATTGATTCAGTGACAGAGGTAATGGGGGTAGGTGTGTCAGAAACAGTGCGATTGGCACAGCATAGAGCAGGGTTTAGGGCTGTTGTACATAGGGTCGCTATGAGTCGTAAGCGACTTGACGGGCACTTAACAACAACAACAACAGGGGAGCTCTGGTGGCCTAGTGTCAAGAAGCTGCATTACAATCCCTAAAGGAAGCGGTTTGAAACCACCAGCTGCTCCTCTGGAAAAAGATGGGTAATCTTCTCCCGTGTGCTTAGCTGCCTCTGAAAATTGCTGGACCTTCTGCTATGGATCAGTTCCAATTCGATGGTACACAACAACAACATTTAGGAAAAGGAGACATTTTTCATTGATTCATGGTATTCTCTAGAGAAGAAGAGTATTAGCTACTGCTTAGGTTTACCCCAGAGTATACACTGTAGGCTGTAATCTTAAATTCTTAAAGTATAACCTTTAAAAGATGCTATGGTCCTTTAAGCAGGAGAATGATGGGCAATCCCCTTCTGTGAGGTTATGAAAACCTGCTGGAGGGTCAGCTCTGGGTCAGTTCTGACTTGATGGTTGTTTGTTTGTTGTTGTTAAGTGCCATCGAGTCGTAGGCGACTCATAGCGACCCTATGAACGAAAGTCTTGGACACCTGTATAACTTTTGTCCTTTCTTCAGATTTATAGGGTTTCCAGAGGCAAGCTATTACGGAAGTTGATGCCACTCCTGCTTCCAACATCACGGTGTACTCCTCCTTAATATGGTTATTTTAGAAAATTACAAAGTAGGACTCTCTCCTGATACTATATTATGGATTAAATTCACTGACTTTCTCTCAGTTAATCACCCTCAACATTTAACCCCCACAGACAAAGAGGCAAGATGATAATTAATGTTTTAAGATCTCTGTAATAGCTTAGTGTTCTGACATAGCCATGTTTTCCAAACTCTGTTGTTATAGATGCCTATAATTTATTGTACAAATTTTTTTGAGACTTTCTTTCCTTAATATTTCACAAATAAATATCTTTTGTTGTTGTTGTTGACTGCTGTCGAGTTGAGCATAACTCATAACAACCCTATGAACAAAAGACCTGAAGCCTTTCTATAACTATCTTCGTTTCTTGACATTCATTGAGTTTCCAGAGGCATATTATTTAGGAAGTGGATGCCACTTTTTAGTTGTTAAATATTTTTTTCAAAATATACACCAAGATAATTAATTTCCACAGTTTTAAAATTATATAAGGGAACTCTAGTGGTAAGCAGTTACACTGCCATTCCAAAACCTTGCAGTTCAAATCCACCAGCTTCTCTACAGAACAAAAATGGGCAATCTCCTCCCATACGATTTAGAGCCTTTAAAAACCAATTGAAGGGTGAGCTATGAGTCAGTTCCAACTCAGTACACAACCATAAGGGCCATGATACGAGATCAAGTCCACAAGCTTTATCATATATTCATAGATAATTCTGAAATCAAATACAATGTAGTACAAAAGAGGCAGGGGACATTGGCACAATTCACACAAATAGATATGTTCAATTTCAAAGAGAGGAAATGAGAGAGAACAGGATTTGTAAATGTGCCACACTTTTCTTTTTACTCTTTTTAAATATTCAGGACTTCAAGACTAAATATAAATACAAAAGGCATTGTTAATAATTATTAGTGCATATAAGGGAAATTCTTTTTAACCTGACTAGATCTAAGCATTGAAAGCAGGACCAGGACTGAGGAAGCTAAATAATGCAACATTGTGTGTTTGAGAGTATTTCATATTCAAGTGGTTAATGTGATGCATCACATTATTTATAATCTTTTGTTAACCTGTATATTCCTGAACAATAGAGATCAAACACAAAACAGTTATTTCATTTTATCAAATCAATGAAAAGGCAATTAAATAAACTTTTCAGGGGATAATAATGTCCAATTGTTGTGCAACTGATTGCATCATAGTGTAATTGATTATCTTTAGTTCTTCAGGCTATTGAAATTAGTGAACCAACCACTTCACGGTCATATTTCAGTTATTTAATTGACCATGCAGTAATCGGTTAACCGGTAAATATTCTATTCCACTACCATTATAAAATATAATAGCTCATTAGTATGAGAAAACAACATTTCTTAACAGCATAATAGAAAGGACTATAAATTATTAGAGTATAACTTGGATTGAATTTAGGCTCTGTATAAAATGTCAGAATAATAAAGACAATGTAGGTTTTTTATTTTCCTGTATTTTTATTTCAACTTTTTTACCAGTGTCATTGACAATTTCACTTTTTATTAATTTTGTTTCAGAAAAAATTAACAAAATCCAATTCCCTTTTCATAGGTGCAGTGACTTCGAGAGTCTCAGACTCTGAAATATAAACAGCTCTAGCACTGCTGCATTCAACAGGTTGGGGGAGGGGTAACAACAGCTTCCTAAGGGAAAAAAAGAACAAATAAGAATCTAGAATCAGCTTCTTAAAGTCAAATCAAGAATATATTGATTTTATTAAGACACTAGAATATATTCTATACCATCAGAATATCTGCTGTACATGTACATAGGGTTATCGGAGGCCTGCTATTTCAGAAATGGATAGCCAATCCTTCCTAGTCTGTCTTAATCTGAATGGTTCAGATTTAGAGAAGTATCAGACAGACCAGCATTTTACAGAAAAGTGAAAGATACATCTCTTATTGTGGAGTTAACCATTAGTATCAGTGCTGTCCCTGCCTTTGGCACACGTGTCTTTACCCACTTATTTCTCTGCTCTACCATCCACCAGGATACCCTTCCACTTCTACCCACTCCCTTCAACATCTATCTCCCATTGTCCAGCCCTTGATGTGATAGCTTATATCTGAAGCTTCCTTGGCTTCTGTGATTCCAAACATGTAACAACAACAGCAATCAGAATAATGCTAGAAACCCCAAATCCACCATTTAGACATATAAATATTGCATCAAAAATAGGCCTAAATAACACCAATTGTGTACTAGCTTTCTGGTCTTTAAAATTCAAGCATGTGTGGGTGTTTTTTTAAAATTGACCTAATTTTGTATTGCATAAACATAGTCTTATGCTATGTTTTTAGGCAAAGAAAAAGAAGTTGGTTGGATAGCCATACTTACGTGTAGATGGAAAACACAGCTGACTGATAACTGAAAGCTGGAATGTTTCTTTAATAGTTCTGCTAACACAATTAATCTTAGCCTCTACCATGGGTGTAGTTATTGAAATTTAGGCCTGGAATGATTTCATATAGAGCAGATCAATAAGTGTGACCCTCTCTATATGCTTTTGATTCTTTCCACTATACATTGAAAAAAATAAAAATCTCTGTGATAGGTTGCTGGATTTATTTTCTGCTTTTATGGCTCACTTTCTGGAGAGTTCTCAGCTACAGATGCGTTCCTGAGGATGAGATATCCATAACTCTGACATAGTGACATGAATCTGAATTATGCATGGGGTCAGCACATGCTGATAGTTGAAGAAAATTAAATGCATGCAACACTTGTTACCTTGCATTCTTGGGAGAGAAAGCCTGAATATCACTTTTAAAAGTGGATTTAATTGGTCCTTTAGAAGGTATGAGATCCAAACAAGTACAGGGATAGAACATTTTTAGGAGTATGTATGAGTATGTGAACAGACTACTAGTATTAGAGAACAAAATTCTTGAAAATAAACAATGGAATACTATGCTGCATTAAAAAACAAGGAACTCATGCAATATTATTCAAAATGGTTGACTCTGGAGAACATTATGCTGAGTGAAATATCCCAGTCACAAAAGGACAAATATTACATGATGCCACTGTTGTAGAATGGGACTGTCCTTGGGGTTGGGGAGAGACTGAGTAAGATGGGTTCAATCATGTATACTGCACTGAAACAGAGGAGGGAGAGAACCGTCTAAAAGAGAGATGTAACTGGGTATTTCTGTCATCACAGGAGACTAGAGCGAGGGCTGCATGGTGGAGGGGACCTGGGGGAGTGTTTGTAAAACAATGAAAGAATATTTTCTTTTACTTTTCCATAATTTTTGGACTCATGTACTTATAACTTGTTAGTCAAATTTGTGTCTTCTAGGTTGCAACACCCCCATGATACATCTTGAAGGATATGTACATGTACAGCCAAGCACAATCAATAAGAGTGCATCTGAATTCCAAAATCAATCTCCATAATAGTCTATGTGTTTCCTACTGCCAAAGGGGCCCTTTAGAGTAGTGAGAGAAGATCTTCACCCTGAAACCCACAGCGTCCCTTTTCAGCAGGAAGTAGCTAAGAGAATACGCCGTCCCCTTTTCCTTATGACTCAGGGTGAAGTCTCTCTCAGGGAGGAGTGATAGGGAATGGCAAAGGATACACTGACAAAGAAGATTAATCAGAACTGGCTTTGACAAGCACTGTGGCATTTGGACAAGAACAAACTGGGAGAAGGGTAGAGAGAATAGTGCAACAATGAATGAGTGGAAGCCCAAAATCTCTGTAAATGTTTATGAAAATTAATAAAATATAATTATAGAAAAAAAAGAAAATAAATTTTCTTTATTCACTTGTCAAGACTTAAGTTCAAGAGACTAGTTCATTAAAATTATTTATTACAAATCTCTGGCACCTAAAAGAGAATTTTTTTCCTATTACCTTTGTTACAGTCCTGATATTTGGAATAAGAGAAACTGTTCCTTACACTTAAAATAATGAAATAGCAAGTATTCTTAATGTAGTCTGTGACATTTAGCATCTCAAAAGAAGTGAACACACACACACACACACACACACACACACAGGTTCAGTCCATCTTTTAAAAGCTATTTACAGCACAGATTGTGCTAGGAGTTAGATTTGCTTTATTCCTTATTCTACAAATGATAATATAGTCCCTTTAAAATGAAAGCAAAGCCTAAAAGCACTAAAAGACAACTACAAATCACCTGAAGAAAGAGTTCCAATGATAATGTGCACTTCTCTGTCCAGAGAGAAATAAATTCAAAAGAGACAGTTAGTAGCCATTGGAATGATCCATCTATCCCTGCATTTCTGTATAAGTCCTTAGAAGTATAGCTTTACATACTAAAATTCCGAACAATAGGAACTGTGCAATCTTTTAAGCTCTTAGGAGATAAGAAGTATTTTTGTCTAGTGAGTTTATCTGATAGATAAACTGAGATTTCTACTTAGAAAAAATAAAATTCTACAGTTACTTTTAAAAAACAACCCAAACCCTCAAATCCACTGCTGTCATCAGTTTCAATTCAGGGAGTTACAGACTCAGATATCCAAAGCTGTAAATCTAAAAAGAGATTGTAAAAAAAAAAATTTTTAAAAAGGAGACTGTCTCCTCTTCATGGAGTGGCTGTTGACCTCTTCGTAGTAGGTTGATTCTTAATCTACTGACATCTAGCACTCTTTTTTACAAATAGTTTGCATATATAATTCATTAGGGGATATCTTGGTGCTACCCAAGTGTCCAGCAGAATAGTTTGTTGAATGAACAAGGGCATGTGTAAGCCAGAGAGACTACACCAATGACCATATTGGTTTGCAGACAGTATTTCTACATATGTATCTGTTGTAAAGAAATCCATATATAGTAGAATAAACAAGCAGAAAAATGGTAACTTCTTAGTCATAACTAAACACCTAGAGGGCCTCAGGGAACATCAAGTTTAACTGACATAACACAGTCTACGTATCTCTGACACACTCCTTTGCTGATTTGGAACCTTGCTCTGTTCTGAGGACTGCTTCCTGGTCCAAGTATAGGTTTTGCATAAGCATAATCAATTGTTCTGGGATTCTCATTCTTCTCAGAGTTATCCGCAGTTTATTGTGATCCACACAAATACCATTGCATAGTCAATGAAACACAGATGGACATTTCTCTGGTACTCTGCTTTCTGCTAAGATCCATCTGATTTTGGCAATAATGTCTCTAGTGCCATGGCTTCCAAATCCAACTTGTATTTCTGGTAGTTCTCTGTCAATGTACTGTTCCAGTCTTTTCTGTACAATCTTCAATAGTATTTTGCTAGGATATGATATTAGTGACATTATTTGATCATTTTCACACTCTATTGGGTCATCTTTTGGGGGGGATGGTAATAAATATGGATCTCTTCTAGTCAGTTGGCCAGGTAGCTGTTCTCCAGATTTCATGGCACAACCTGGCAAGCATGTCCAGGACAGCATCTGTTTGTTGAAATATGTCAATTGGTATTCCATCAATTCCTGGGGCATTATTTTTTGTCAAGTCCTTTAAAGCAGCCTGCACTTCCTCTTCATCACTATTGCCCTTTGATCATATGTTGTTTCTTAAAATTCTTCTGTCAGCCAATTTCTTTTTGGTACAGTCACTCCGTATACTGTAGACTAAATTGTAAGAAAGCAAGAAGGTTGGTGGTTCCAACGCATCAGCTGCTCCAAGGGAGAAATATGGGCAGTCTCCTTTCATAAAAATTTACTTCAGACATTAAAAGGAGAGTAGCTATGACTTGAAATAAACTTGGTGATAGTCGATTGGAATGGATCAGATCTTTTGAGATTTCTGGTAGCCTAGAGAGGCAAGGATTTGTGCTGCAAAGCCGAAGGCATATGATTTTAATCCACCAGATGCTCTTCATGAGGAAGATGGGCAATCACCTCCTATTTGATTTATAGCCTCCAAAAACCTGCTGAGAGATCAGTTATGAGTCAGTTCTGATTTGATTGCTGTCGTTGTGTGCCGTAGAGTCACCTGAGACCCGTAGCTACCCTATGTACAGCAGCTCTGAATTCTGCTCTGTCCTGAGCCAGTCTCATTAATTCTGACATACCAACCTCCATTGCCCCAGTCACTGTATCAATCCATCTCATCTGGGGTCTTCCTCCCCTGTGTTGTACCTCCACCCTTCCAACCATGATGTCCTTCTCCAAGGATCGATCACCTCCTGGCCACATGCCCAAAGTATGTGAGATGGAGCTTCAAAATCCTAGCCTCCAAGGAGAAACTTGGTTTCAACCTCTCCAAGACAGACTACGTGTTTTCTTGACAGTCCATGGTGTGTTCAAGACTCCTCTTATGCAAAACCTATACTTAGACCAGTACAGATCAGGGCAACACAGCATGGTTTAAAATCAGGAAAGGAGGTCGCCAAGATGTCGTTCCCCAAGTACAAGCCATCGCGCCTGGCCACTCTACCTGCTACCCTCGACCCTGCCGAATACGACATCTCTCCAGAGACCCGGCGGGCTCAAACCGAGCGGCTGGCCATTAGATCCCAGCTTAAACGGGAGTATCTGCTTCAGCTCAATGACCCCAACCGGAAGACGATCATTGAAGATCCTGCCTTGACTTGTTGGACATATGCAAGATCAGCAAATGTGTATCCCAATTTCAGGCCCACTCCCAAGCTCTCCCTCATAGGAGCTGTGTTTGGCCTTGGGCCCCTCTTCTTCTGGTATTATGTTTTCAAAAACGAGAGAGAGAAAAGAAAAACATATCCAGGAAGGAAAATGGGAACAACCATTTAACTTCTCATATTAAGTGTGACAGAGATGACTGTGTATTATTGCTTAAATAAATCTTCTATTAATCATTAAAAAAAATCAGGGAAGGAGTGGTTCAAGGATGCATCCTGTCTCCATACCTTTTCAATCTATATGCAGAACAGATCATTCTGGAAGCTGGGCTTTATGAGGAGGAATGTGGCATCAGGATTGGAGGTAGACTCATCAACAATCTATGTTATGCAGATGATACAACCTTGCTTGCTGAAACTGAAGATGACCCAAGTGCTTGCTGTAGAAGGTCAAGGACTGTGGTCTTCAATAGGAATTGAAGTTCAACACCAAGAATACAAAGATTCATACCACTGGGCCCATTGGCAGCACCATGATAGATAGAGAAGGGATTGAGGTTGTTAACAATTACAACTTGCTCAGCTCTGCAATCAACACTCTTGGCACCAACAGTCAGGAAATCAAAAGAACAAATGCTTTGAGAAAATATGCTGTCAGGGACCTCCCCAGAGTGCTGGAAAGCAACAGTGTCAGTCTAGAAACCAGTGTGCGCCTAATCATAAGGACATGGTCTGACTTGATAGTGCATAACAATTGTAAGAGTTTATAAACACTTAAACCCAATCCCTCTATCTTTGTTGCTATGTGCCATGAATCTGATTGTGACTCATATCAACCTTCAATAGCAGAGTAGAAATGTTCCATACAGTTTTCTAAACTATAATCTTCATGGGAGCAGATGGCCAGGTATTCTTTCCCGAGGAGCAGCTAGTAGGTTCAAACTGCCAACCTTTTGGTTCACAGACAACACTTAAACCACTGACCCAAACTAAAGGTAGTAGGTATGCATATTGAGAAAATATTCCAAAATAAACATATTTCTAGAACAGCATGGCTGCAAAAGCTGCTAAAGTGTTCAGAAAAAAAAATGGTAAAATCGTTCTATCTTATATTTAATGATAAAAATTCAACCTTCTATTTACTATCTTAATTAACAAAGTTTTCATAAGAGATAATATTTCTCTGGAAAGAGTATTTAATATATAAGAAGAGCTTAAACCAAATGTCATAGTACAGGCAGTGTTTTATGTGGGAAAGTAGCTCTTTGTGAGTCTTTCATTTAGTGGGTTCTGATAGACATCTGAAATGACAGCATAGCTAGAGCAGCAGCCTTAAGATTGATGGAGACAGTGGGAACTGCTAGGGAAACGGAAATTAACTCCATGGTGTGTAGATATGTGTATGCTTTTAACAAGTGTGCAAGTATTCTAAAAGATTGACTGTTCATTTAACTAACTTCCCTTCTTCGCTGGAAGAATTAAATGCATGTATACTAGGCAATGAGAAAAATACAATACTTCTTGAAGTGAATGGTAGGAATAGTGAAGGTAATTTTTATAACAGGAAATAATTTTTTTTGGTATGTGAGAATTCATTTTTAAAATCATGGAAGTAATTAGAAAATATTTTATAAATATATTCATTGGGAGATCATTTTAGATTAAATGCATCTACTGGAGAATTTAAAATCAGCTATGTAAACTCAACAAAGGGATCTTTTGTATAAAGATTTACTTTTTGTTCCCTTGAAGCCCTGTGAATAACAAAAGAGAGTTACAGTTTCTGATAACAGAAGGACGGCATGGTGCTAGCAGTTGTCTGTTCTTTCATTCAGTTTGAAATGCTCAAGAATTACAGAGAATGCACCACTACATACAGTCCACCACTGTATGTTCACAGCTATACATTCAAGCTGAAAGGGAACAAAGCAATTTTATCTAACACATATCAGGCCATATCAATTCTCTCTCCATAGTTTATTTTGAAAGATAGGAATTCTTTATCTATGTTTCATGATAAACAATTTTTATCAGAATTTTAGTCCATATATTATAAGAACGTAATTTGAGCCTGTGTATTAACAAGACCATACTTGGAGGGGGGAGAAAAAAGTAACTGAATCATCTGTATTATCTTCACAACTAGAGAGTCTAGTAGTAAATTAGCTGTTAGAAATTTCATCTGAAGCAGTTGATGAGCAGAGCTTTTGTTGATGTTTGAGATGAACATAATACAATTTCTTGATTGTTGTTACGTGCTAGCAAGTTGACTCCAATTCACAGTGACGACAGGGCATAACCCTAACTGATTCTTCTCCATCCTCACAGTCTCTATTGTGGTTTAGACTACTCTTGCAACACAGCATTAATTTATCTCATCGAAGGCCTTCTTCTCTTTTGCTAGCTTTACCAAGCCTCACAATATGCCATGAATTTAAAGATGTTGCTTCTAATATTCACAAAATTTAAAAATAATGCATTTCTACCATAAAAGTACATGTACATGCTTTTCTCATATCTGTTCTGAGAACTAGGGATTATTATCCCACGTTATACATGGAGAAACTAAGGTACAGAAGAAACATTTAGTTAACTTCCCAAGAACAACCATCTGTGATTTAACTGAGGTGACTCCAAAGCTATATAAAAATACTTTGGTTACTTTGGTAATTTTTATTTGCCTTTTGCCATTATTCCTGGCACATAAACTATGTATGAATGTCCAGGATTATTTTTTATTTTGGGTTTGTTGTTGGTTTGGGTTTTTTATTATGCTTTGATGACAACAAACCACTCCAAACAACTTGCTGTAAAATAGAAAAATAATCTAGGTATTTCCACACATATACCGAAGCTTATATAATGTAGATCAGACATCAGAATGATTATTTGATTTTTTCCCTTTTCTTCTGTGTTTTGCAACATCATATAAAGAAATAGATATTGGGGAGAGAAAAAATGAATTATGTTTATATTTTTAATATTGACTAAAGACTCATTAATATTATTTTACACTATTCTAATCCCAAGTGTTACTTACTTATTAGCAGTACGAAGATCAAGAAGCATTTCCTGGATATCTAATTTAATGTCAGAAGGGTTTGTATCTGGTAGTTTAATTTTAATCTGAAAGAGAAAATGAGAATAAAAATGATGTCTTGGAGAACAAGAGTTAATTTGAAAACTGTATGAACATATGGGAGGTGCTCTGGCAGAGCTGTGGTTAAGACATTCAACTTCTAACTAAAAGGTCGATAGTTTTAGTCCATCAGTTGTTCCATGGAAGAAATACCAATCTACTTCCATAAAGATTTACAGCTATGGGCTGTCCAACAAGGTTGCGATGAGTCAGAATTGACCCAGTGGCAGTGGATTAAGTTTGGGGGTTTTATGAATGATTGGAAAAGGCAACCAAGATATACTAAGTGCCAATTAAAGAGTATGAATTTTTAAAATTTTATTAATTTTAATGAACATTTACAGAGATTTTGGATTTCCATTCATTCATTAATGCACTTTTCTCCCTGCCCACCCTTCACCCCAATTCACTCCTCTCTTAGAAAAGTAAAGGAAAAATTCCTTCATTGGTATACAATCCCCCCCAACTCCCCGCCCCCCGCCCCGAGTATACTACACTATGCAACCTTCATTCTGGACTCTTGTGATAATACCCTATCATATGTCACTTTTTTATCAACTTTTGAGTCTTAAATTTTTAATAAATATCTTGCTGTACAGAGAGGTAACTCATGGTTGCTGTGATGCTGAACACTGTGACACTGATGTGTCAAATGCAATAATGGTGACCCATGGTGGATAGTGTTTGGTGGAGCTCCCCGATTAAAACAAGCTTGGAAGCAGGAGTGGCATCCACTTCTGAAACAGCTTGCCTCTGGAAATCCTATGAACTGTCATTAACAGTTATTGTTAGGTGTGGTGTTCACAGGGTCACTTGCTCCTTCCTGCATCATCACCACAATCTCTGCCACACTCAAGCCCATTGTTGCAATCGCTGTGTCAATCTGTCTTGTTGAAGATCTTCCTCTCTTGAGAGATCTTTGGTGGTGTCATCTGTAAGAGCAGAACTGCTAACCCAAAGGTGACACCACTCTGGTTGTTTGAATCCACCAGCGACTGTGGGGAGGCGTCACGTCTGTCAGAGTAGAATATTGGTCCATAAAGTTTTCAAAAGCAGGGTTTTTTTGAACATAAAATAACAGGCCTTTCTTCTGATGTGCCTCTTGGTCAGATATCACTTTTAAACAGTTCTGTTCCTCATCTGCTTCAATGCAGTATACATAATTTA